GACATTGACAATACCTAGCCTCCTTCGCAGTCTTGTTGGGCGTGGGCGTAATTTTTCTCTGAGGGACGCTAGTAATATGCCGCCGCGAGGGACGATTTGCTGCCGAGGGACTTTTGCCACGGAGAGAAGGTTTCCGCGCTCCAACAAGACTGCTTCCAATCGGCGAGTTAAAAGGGCTATCAAAAAACACTTAGGAGCGATTGGCATGGATGTGTGAACTTCCCGCAATAAACGCCACCAGTGCAGGGTGGTGTTCACGCCCCGTTGATCGACGAGCCAAAACTTGTAACTTTCCAGCGGTCGCCGATCAACTCGTCGGTAGAACGCCAACCATTCCCGAAAACCGAGCCCTATCCACTCAACAAAATCCCGGAGACATTGCTGCTACGAAAAAGAACTTTGAACAAATCACTACCACAGGAACCCGCAAGCTAAACTGTGATATTGCTGGGGGACGTCGACAGATAAACAAAGTGCCGCCATGTTGTTTGGTGGCGGGTTGATCTCACTGACCATGGGAGGGTAACACACCGCTCCGTAGCAAGTTGCGTAATAGAAAGAATTGCACATTGCACCAGCAAAAATAGTACTGCAAATTGTCTTGGTTTGTTTGCATGGGACGCTTAAATATGCACAGCAATGCCTGTTGTAACATTACCAATGTTCTCTGTTGGAACCTTCGACTATAACGTAACGCAAGCTAATAAAACCAACCGTTGACAAAGGCGAGCGCGTGTCATGCGTATCTATGAATTACCCTTGCGCGGACATGTGAATTGGACCTGCGCGAACATGTGAATTGGACCTGCACGAACATGTTAATAGCCTCTATGAAAGGCTGGCTTAATCCGAGGTCCTTTTAACTCGCCGATTGGAAGCAGTCTTGTTGGAGCGCGGAAACCTTCTCTCCGTGGCACAAGTCCCTCGGCAGCAAATCGTCCCTCGCGGCGGCATATTACTAGCGTCGCTCAGAGAAAAAATTACGCCCACGCCCAACAAGACTGCGAAGGAGGCTAGACAATACCAATATCTTCATGGCTTTTACATGTAGTTTTACACTGACTAGTAAAGAAAAAGTGGTCACCATGGACAGTTGGCCTGCTTGAAGAAGTGGTCACCTTGGTAGGTCTGACTGTACTCAATGTACTTAAAGATGTTCAGGTCTACCACAAAAATGTATCCCCGTGAAAATACATGCATTTAGAGTGATACTGATACCTGGGGAATGTCTGCAGCTATGCAGGTGTAGAAAACAATGTATCTAACCCTCTTTTACCACAATTCACCGAGCTCCTGAAATGCCAGCTCCAAACAACCACATACCACTAGGGTTAGTCTGCGATGTTATCTACTCATTCGTAGCATTCTGCACTATAGTCAGAAGGCACCCTGTCACACATTCAGAACCTTCCCCTGAACACTAGCCAACCAAGTGCACTGGTGTACCCAAATATTTTTGTACATTATCAAATGTAAAATAGTGTACAGGATATTCTTGGTGTCTAAGCATCAGAAATATATTAATAACATCTTGGTTGTAATTATATTTCAGTCCATACCATGGTATGGATGAAATATATTGTGTTCCTTCATGTTTCTCCTTCTCCTCCTCCTCCTGCCAAACAGTCACAGGGATTCAACTCAGCCATCATTCAGCCAAATGACCTGTAATTTGGCATGGAGGTAGAGTGGGCAAATACCCCCAGACGTTTTTTTCATTTTTTTGAAACATGCCTTTGAAAAATTTTTATGAAGGTTTTTTGGGGCATTTTTCGACAAAAAATGGATTTTTGGATCCTGAGCCCTGGTATTACAACCAAATGATATGACATTCCGTATAAGGGTACGTTGAACGTGTGTCTACAGAATAGCAGTCATGTATTTGGCATACACCACTTCCGAATGACTCATTTGGGGGACTTTAATGGCTATTTTCAGCAAAAAAGGGCCAAAAGTGCTGTACCCGTTCCATGTTCTATCTAAAGAATGGCCAGTTCCATCCATGGAACACGTGTTCCATTGCGGGTTACCTGAGGTCACATTGCACCTAAGTGGTCACATTGCACCTTCAAAATGTATCAAATCTCATCATTGTTAGTTTTTGCATACCTGTAATAAGATTAGTAAAGCTTTCGAGATTCAAAGTGCTTGTTCTTGCATCTTTGTTCTCAATTACATAGCTACTATTTAATTCATTTATTTGAGAACCTTTGCCAGTTTTGCACTGTGGTAAGTTTGGAATAGTCCACTTTTGCGTGGGAGGGAGATGGACTGAAATATGCTGTATTTGCTCCCAAGCAAATGTCGGCCTTTCTAGTTAGGTTTTGTTTTATATGATGCACCCAAAACATTTTTTGTGCACCTAATTTTTTAGGTTGGGTGCATCAGTGAACCTACATGTATTCCCAAAAATGAATTTCGAGCCCTGAGGTATATTACCTGTTGCAGCTGTTCCAGGTAGATGTTCCTTTCCTCGTCCAGCCGTGCTGTCTCCTGCTGTGACTGGCGCATGGTTTCCTTCAGCTGTCTCTCCAGCTGGAACAGCCGTTGCTGTCAGGGGGAGGGAGGAAAAATGACTCAGCAGTACTCTCAGTTTCATCCATTGTAATTTCACTCACAAACAAACAAACAAAAACAGGAGAAGTTTTGACGAACACCGAACCACCACGCTTGACTTCTAATGCAATTTCAGGACAGCAAAACAAAAAAAATATTCTGGATGAGGAAATCTGTCTGATATTGACATTTACTGCCATTTCTAAGCAAATTTTTTTCATCATTAATTACTTGGTATCATAATTATAGAGACATTTATGAACAAAGGCGAGACATAAAGACATGAAGTAGAAATGTTTAACGAAAGAATTGACAATTTATATCCATATTTTCTACACAGGTCATGTAGCGACTAAGGTAGGGACTACCCTAGGAGACAATCTAATTTTTAGAACAATGCAGTGACTGTGCTATAAAGCTATTACGTATTAGTATCTTCCTGATAATTAATTGTGTCCTGCCCTCTAGAATGTCTTTGAAAGCCAAGTACTTTGGACAATACTGGGGCATGTTTTTCATATGCATGCAAGTTTGCACAGTTTTTGTTAATTAAGACATTCTGAGAGACATTTTCTAAAGAACAAGAAAGTCCTCCCAGTAAGGACACAAAAAATTCTAGGAAATTTGTGAAAAAAACAACAACTGAGGGACAGACAAACAAAGCCAAAGACTTCAGTACCCTTAAGTAACAAACAAACAAATGCCCAGACTGACCTTTCTGGTCTGTATCTGGTCCTGGAGTTGTTGCTCCTATCAATCAACTGTCAAATCACCTCCCACCCACCATGCAACCAATACAATTAGGAGAGACAAACAAAGCCAAAAACTTCTCTACCCTTACCCTAAGTAACAAACAAAAACAAACAAACAAACAAACAAAGGCCCAGACTGACCTTTCTGGTCTGGATCTGGTCCTGAAGTTGCTGCTCCTCCTCCAGGAGTTGTTGTTGCACGACCTCCTTCTCCTCCTCCACCTTACTCTCCAACTCCAGCTGCTGAAACTCCAGGTCCTCAAACGACTTCTGCTCGTACTCCAGACACTCCTTCTCCTTTCTACAACACAAACAATGAAAGTTTATTGCAAAGACATGCCCGAGGGCTAATTGCAGTTACAAACAACATAAGAAAGAAAATACAGTGGTATGTGAGACTATATCTACGTCTAGCATTCTACAACATACATGGTACCAGTTTTACTGGATTTGATTTCTTCTTTTTAGGCAATGGACAAATTATCCACTTCTTCTATAATATGTGGGTTCTTTGATTTTAGTAGTAAAATAGTTTTTTTTTCTTGTGGTAAGGAAAGGTGGGGAAGTGGCGGAGCATTTTGGACACGGTGGTAAATAATTGTTTTCTGATATCGTCATAAAATGGACAATTAGAGATGAAATGAATTTCGTCTTCTTTGAGGAGCAATATTTACAAATTCTCTCTGACACAGGTAGTTTCATATATATCGCTCTTAACGCTAAACTTCAACTAGAACTAGAAACTTAAAGGTAACATTTGCAAAGCAAATGCCTAATGATTACCTTCGCATATGGTCTGCTCTGTTAATTCTTATACTCAAACACATTCACATATATGGTGACAGGAGTCTAAATCCCTCCTGCTATAAAATTGCAACATGATGTAACCCAACACCAGTTACCATGGTGACAGACGTCTGGTTCAGGCCATTGACCTTATTTGTTATGAGAAGAAGAAGAAGAGGAAGAAACTGAGCAAAAAGAATATGTTTTCCTTTGGTTAACATAACAATAGACTTAGTCTAGAAAGATAACAATAAGTAAATGCATTACATGTACATGTATTGTTTACCTTTACGTTGTATTGCATTGCAAGACAAGTTCTAGACAATTTACCTTCTAAAATCTAGATTACCCTCTTTTATTACTGTAATTCTTTTGTATGGTGTTTCATTGTTCACATGTCTCTATTACCTGCAATTCTCAAAGGCATAAACTTGCAATTAACTTTTTAAATCAAAAACTGTATAAAGCCACCATCTATTCTTCCTGATACCATGTAAGGCCACACCAAGTAAATTTTATGGATGACGTCCTTTGGAGACCCTAAATCTAATGCGAGAGGGCGAAAAAAAAACAAGAAGGGCCCTAAAAAACAAGATGCCTAGATTCGAAATATACTAAGAGACACAAATTGAATGAGGTGACACAGTGTAACAAGCAAGAAGTCTTTTATTCATCATCAAAACAGCAATAAGTCAGGTGGAACAGCAGTTGTCGTCCTGTCCTGTTTTCGCGTTACGGGTTTCACGTCAATCTGACGATTTGCAGCACTGTCATGACTCTTTGGTCATAGTTACAGGAAGCGGAATTTCTTGTTTTTTTTCTCGGAACAGGCCAAAATCAATGCGCGCGGACGTCATCCATAAAATTTACTTGGTGTGGCCTAACTAGGAAGTCAAAATATTGAAGATTTCCTCAAAAAAGTGGGCAAAGGGATCATATTGGAAAACAGTAAAATGAATTGATTTTTTTGTGAGTCATTGTAACCTCATACATGTATATTACATTTCCCACACCTGCGAATCAGGTAAGAAAAGATCATATCCATGGAAATGTGGGACAATACGACTTTTATCATGAGTCAGTATGAGTACTGGATGTCAATACAATCATGTACAAATCATAAATTACTTTTAATGACTAATAAACTGGAAGTGGACGTACCAACAGTCAGTATCTAATACCAGCTCAGAAAATACGCAGTCATGCCTTCAAGTACCAGAGTTATCCAACCAGGGCTGAGGTGTTAAAAAAATTTGTTTTTACTATGATCGTAAAATCATGAACACAATGTCATACTAAAAAAATGCCACCAAGTACAGAAAGGTCATCCTCACGACATTTAGATTTAGCTTTAGAAAACGTAAACAGTTACATGTAGTTGTATAACCAGTGTTCAGGCCAGCCTGAAAAGTTTTTTTGTCATCTCAATTTTGACGGAACATTTTGTCGAGCGCCAAAGGCATGACAATCTTAGGGGCAGAGGCATGATTTTTGGGGAAAATGTTGAAATCTTGACCCCCTGAAACACCTGCATTTTGGGGGGCAAATTTTAGTTGAATAACCGCAATAATGTTCGATAACAGGTTCTGTCTGGACCGGGCCGTACTTTACGGTACGGCCCGGGCTTCCATAGTACGATTTGACGCGGTCGGTCCGATACCTCGGGCGACACGGAATACCCCGTGTTGTATTTATTCTATATGTACATGTACAAAACCCAGGTGTGTTACACCTAAAGGCGGTTTACCGGTTATGCGAAACAAAACATCTAAAGGCTCTCGTTCTTCCCAGGCTCTCGTTCTTCCCTCGCACCATCAAGGAGTGGAATGAACTTGAGCCTAGTATGGCGGAGGTGAAGTCCATCTCCTAGTTCAAAGCAGAGCTGGGACGGGCTTCGCTGCATTGAGCTGCCTCCCTGTCCTTGTACATATGTAAATGTGTGTAATACTAGCACCATTGATTTCACTTGTCCTGTCCTTGCACTTGTCTACGTCCATCCCTACCCTACCCTTTGTTTGCACACAGTCACTAATCTGCGCAGCTGCTTATAATCCTCTTCTTAGAGGGATGAGCAACTTATCGAAGATGATGAGATGATCAACTTACTTGTACTGCTGCATGAGTCTGTCCTGCTCACTGGGCAGACATCTCTCCAGTAGCTGGCGCGTGTCCTCGTACTTTTTCCTCACCAGCTCCAGCTGACGTCGCTTCTCCTCCACCGACTTCTTACCCTGGAGAGAGCGAGGGGATACAGAAGTTAAGGGGACAGTTCCGCCAACCCATCAGGGGGGAGGGGGGCGGCTTCAGCCTGCATCCTGACAACGTTGGACACCGTCCAAACCTGGCAGCTGCAGTCTAAAAGCCTTTTATTGTCATGCAAATCACATCGACTTGTAACTTGCTGGGGTTCTTCCAAGATTAGTCCTGTAGTGTACAGTGTTTTTTTTGGTGTTTTTTTTTAAGGCCACACCAATTTAATTTCTTGGTTAACGGATTCGCCCGCTTCAGTTTTTTTCTGATTTGCAAAAAAACAAAAACAAAAAAAAAAACACAAAAAATTCAGAATCAACTGCAAAATGCTCATATCCGAACAGTTGAAAACTGTCCTTTTCTTCCTACTTGTTACAGTTATTCCATCTTTCAATGCAGTGGTATCATTAAAAGTTCAAAATTCATAATTTTGAACCAGCCATGGCTCCTATCGTACCATTTTGGGCCATAATAGGATGCCTAGGCCTGTTTTTATTTTCATTTTTTTCGCCCGCCCACTCCATTATTTTTCTAGAAAAATCCGTTAACCAAGAAATTAAATTGGTGTGGCCTAAGGCCCGAACTTGCTCCTACTATAGTGAGCCATCCCATTTTGACAGAGCCAGCTGCCTGCCTCGCCTTTCTGGGCAGCAGGGTGGCATTGTTCGACACTTGGTGCACGCAGAAAGGCAATGCTATTAGGGTTTGTTAGGCAAATGAGCGGTTATTAGCTGCAATAGTGAGCAACAATGAAAACGCCACACATTGACATGCTTTTCACGTGGTTAGAGAACAGGATGTTAAAAAGGCTAATAGTTTCTAACATTGTTATACACTGTACACAGATAATAGCAGAGAACCCCGAGTCAAATACATTACACAAAGAGCAAACTTTTAGGCCAAGATTTAGAATAAAAGCAATAAGGAAATATAAGCAGAAGATCGAAGTGACTGCTAAGGTATTAAGTACATTCAAGCTCAACTGTTAGTAGCTTTGCAGTGGTCGAAATACTTTTTTTCAGTGCTCTGCAATATTGCAGAAGAGTCAAAATTTTGTTCTGCAATTTGGAAATACTTTCTGCAAATACACAAGCCTCTATACTACAATCTTGCAAGTTTAAAAGCATGAACTGTTGATTGATATGCAAATTAGTGAAGACAAATTTTTGGAAGTCCAAAAGGAAACAAAAGATAAACAGGTCAAGACAAGGTTGATGTAAATTAGTGAAGAAGCTCCTGTTGTTTCAGAACAGGAGCTTAAGTGTTGTCTGTTCTTGGGGCCAAGAGCACCAAATCCCAAGTGCCAATTTTTCCTGCTGCAAAATTGCAGATTGTATAAATTTTTCTTCTGCAATCTTGAAAATCTATCTGCAGATTGCAGACTGCAGACAGGTATTTTGAACACTGCTTTGAAATGAGTACTTAGTCTTCAAAGATTGGAGCTTGTTAGAAGTCTTAGAAATCAGGGTTAGTTTAAAGCACGCATTGAAGAAAAGATCACCAAAAACCTTTGGGCCATCATGCAGTGAGGAAACTACAGCCTTCTTCCTCTGGAAAAACACCAACAGACGCAGTGAGATGTTGTACATGCAAGACAACACTTGATGGTAATACTTTTTAAGACAGGAAAGAGACTTTGTGCGTTTTTCATGCAAAAACAAAATAAAATAATAACAGGGTCACAATCTGTGGTACTGTGTGGCAAAGAGGTTGAACTAAAAGCTTTAGAAGTCGTTCGGCACTTAGGACAGTACTAAAAGCGTCAATTTCGATCCTATGTACCTTGGAAAGAGAGCTGTGCAGTCATGATTGAAGCTGTACAAATCCCACACACTGACTAGTGTGACTAACAATTCATCTTGTACCTTGTTCTACTCTACTGAAAGCTATCAGAGAATTGAAAGCTATTAGGGATTCAGGGTAATGATATGGAAAGAAGACCCAACCTGGTTGCAGGGCTTGAAATTAACATTGGTCACTGACCACTAAAATTTAGGCAGGGACAACTTAACAACTTAAAATACACTTTGGGAAATTTTTAAGCCACACCGACTTAATTCTATGGATGACATCTGCGCACGCATTAATTTTCGTCTGTTCTCAAAAAAGAAAAAAAAAAAATCACGTCCACAGAGGCTCTGGCCTGGCTCTAGGCCTGGGTAGTCCATGGTAATTTGCGACAATATGGAGCCAGGCACCCAGGCTACCGAAGGTCCACGACTCAAGAACTCAGTACATACGTAAGCGCACTAGTTTGTCTTCAGAGGATGTCATCCATAAAATTAAGGCGGTGTGGCCTTGGGACAAAAAAAAATAAAAAAAATTGTCAACATCAGATCTAAAATGTCAGCCCTTCTTTCATTTATCAGGCGCATATCCCAGCTTTTGGCTCTGGAAAAGTCACCCTGAATTCCACTCTGAATGTCAGAACGTAACCAAAATAAAGTTGACTTCAAGTTGAAGTCATACATACTTCCCGAAAAATAGGTTGGGACGGTTCGAACTCACTTCGGGACAATTGAAATTTATTTTCAGGACAGTGCTGGAAGAAAAGTTAATTTCGAGGCCAGTGGGTTGGGAAACAGCTCACAATCAAGTCTGTTGACCTAGGTCAGGTGGTAATGTATACTGTTCTTGATTATTTCCTCTTAGGACAGATGTGACAGATCGTGTTGGAGCTTTCATCAGTGGCATGGCAGCCAAGGCAGGGCTCCAAATACCACCTACATAGGCAGGTTAGTGCAGGCAGGGCTCAAAATACTGGGGTATATGCAGGTTAGAGCAGGGAAAATTGTTTTAGCTGTGCAGGTATTTCTGATGTCTACATGCATTTATCCTGCACTGGTCCATGTACTGGGTATATGCAGGTTAGTGCAGGTAAAATTGGAGCTGTGCAGGTATTTCTGATGTCTACCTGCACCTAACCTGCACTGGTCCATGTACATGTACTGGGTATATGCAGGTTAGTGCAGGTAAAATTGGAGCTGTGCAGGTATTTCTGATGTCTACCTGCACCTAACCTGCACTGGTCCATGTACTGTGTTTATGTAAAACATGTACATGTATGTATTTGCTGCATTGCCTGCTAGTAAACATGAGGTATAAAAGAAATTATAACAGTCATAGTTTTTAACATTTAATACGATCAATACTTTGATCTGAGTGGTGCGAGTAAAATTTGCCTGGTGCAGGTAATTTTCAATGTTAGAAACTTTCATTTTCACTTTCAAACATTTTCAAGTTTAAAATGAGTGTTACTTAAAGGGAAAAAAACTGATTTGGAAGTGCAGGTTACATGTACATGTAAGTTGTCTGGTGCAGGTAATTTTTAATGTTGTCTGTACCAGTGCAGCTATGCAAAAAAAGAACAAGACTGGCAATGAAAACATACATTGCCATGGCGACGGTGGTTGCTGTTATTTTATGTGACAGATACAGTGCACCCCCCGAGTGTATAGTGAACAAGCCCCAGGGTCACAGAAAGTAGGGCCATCCGGGGCAGAGAGGTCTTGCCAAGGGTTTCCAGGAATGTGGGCATAGATGTGGGTCAGAGACATGCCTGTGGACATTCCATTCCTGTGGACAAAATGCCTGTACTATTCCTAGAATTCTTGCAAACTGCACACAATACTGTACCATTAGGCTCCTCCCTGAGACGTCGCCAAAAAGGATTATTATTTCGAGCCCTGGCCAATGTGCTCTACATATACATTGTACACTCTCCGTTTGCTAGTTCATTAGCACAGACATCTGTGTGGAATTAGGAAGACAATTTCGGGCCCCAATTTGACTCCATCTCTTGTAGTGGGAGTGTGGGGCTCTCAGCTGTTGGACTTCACAGGGAAACCAAAAGTTAAGGAAGATTTGCTACAGTAATTTGCAGTACAGACTGGAGGGAAATCTCACCACCTGTTTCTGGTAAGGCCACAGCAAGTTATTTTTATGGATGACATCAGTGCACGCATTGATTTTTGCTTGATTTAAAAAAAAAGAAGAAATTTTGTTGCCTTCTGACAGTGGTCAACATTCCGAAAATGGGAAGAACTGCATGCCTTGCCATGCTGGAACATTTATGGCAGATAAACATATCAAGACAAGACAAGGCTCTGATTTATTGCAGTTTTGACTTTTACTTTTAATTGATGAAGTGATGTATTTCATTCCTCTTATATGTTTCCACTGAATCAAAAACATTTGTACAATGATTGAAAACTTTCCTTTTTCAAAGTTTTTGAAAGTTGTTTCTACTTGACAAATCATGGATATTGTGATAGTTGGCAATTAAGTTAGCACAATATAGGTTTCATTTCTTGTTTAGCAGAATTTATGATGTCAAAATTTAAAAATATAGGAATCTTGTTTTTTTTTGCCCTCTCACATTAGCTTTGGAGTCTGCGGAGGATGTCATCCATAAAATTTACTTTCTGTGGCCTAATATGGCGGATTGTGGCAAAAGAAACTTAAGTTGTAATCTTAGGCCCGATTTAGACTAGAAATGGTATACCGTTTCGAAACGGTACGAAACGTTTCGCCACAGAAAACGGTTCGTCTTTAGACACAGAGGCGGAAGCGTTTCGGGCCGCCCGTGGCGCAGGATGTTTCTGACCCACAGTGACCTATGATGACCTCCCCAAACCGCTTCTACAGTTTCGAATCTACGAATCTACCAGAAAATGGACGCGCGCTGGCTTATTAGCATGTGATTAGCATATGACACGTGACCTGGTTTACCGTTTCAAGAAACCCTTTGACTTTAGACCTAGCAAAAAGCGTTTCGGGCCCCCCGCTGAAGGGTTCTGAAACGGTCGAAAACCACGATGGAGGTGGTTTTCAGAAACGGTCCGCGAAAACCCATAACAAACCGTTTTTTCCTCTTTAGACCGGGAACGGTTAACCGTTCCGAAACGTTTCCCTGGCCAAAACCCCTTAAGCGTTTCTAGTCTAAATCGGGCCTAAGCAATTCAATTTCTGCCTGAGATGATTACTGTACATTGGTTTAATTTTTGCAGGGAATCAATTTTGCAGTAGAAGGAAAAAAGGTGGTTTTCACAGTGTTTTGAGTTGGCAGCTGTACCAATTCTGCAGTACAGTAGTAGAATGCAATGCTTGTGGTGTCATGATTTGGGGTGGGGAGGTTAAAAAAAATGAAGTATTCAAGTATTTCTAGACCAGTGTTCTAGCCAACTTGAATTTTTGTTTGTTTGATGTAAAATCATGTGAAATCTTGACCCTCTGAAATGCTATTTCCTGCATTTTGATGGGCAAATTTTGCTGGAGGACTAAGTCTTAGTTCAATGACATCTCTTTCTATAATTATCATTACACACTAATTTTTTTGTCCATCAAAGATGACAGATTGGGCTAAAAAATATATAATATTTGTCTGTCATGAGGAGCAAAATTTTTGGAAACAACTGTTACAGAAAAATATGGATTGATGCTGAAAACTGTCACAGTGTTAGAGTCCAGTTCTCTAATAGTTTCAGGTGAGAAAAGGACTTCAAGGGAAATACCTATACACTGTACTTGCCACACAGACCATATTATGATTTTTGAAGCCACAGAACTACATGGCACTATAACACTTACCCTCTTAAACCACACCAACAGTCAGGCAACAGACAAGCACAAAAAGGGAGCAGAGCATACACTTGGTTAGAATATACACCTACACATACAATGTTAATAGAAAATGTTACAGTTATTGTACCTTTAACAATGTTAGGCCACACCAATTTAATTGTTAGTTCTCGGATTTTTTCAGAAAAAATATGAAGCGACAGGGCGAAAAAAAATAAAAATAAAAACAGGTCTAGACATCCTATTATAGGCTTAAATGCTACGGAATGAGCCATGAAGTCAACACAAAAGGCTGGGTTAAAATTTAAACATTGAATTTTGAACTTTTAATCAAACCACTGCAATGATAGATGGGAAAACTGTAGCAACTAGGAAGAAAAGGACTTTCCTCAACTGTTGGGGGCAAAACATGAGCATTTTTCAGTTGATTCAGGACCAGAATCAAATTTTTTTTTTTTTTGCAAATCAGAAAAAAAACGAAGAGGCGAATCCGAGAACCAACAAATTAAATTGGTGTGGCCTTAGCATACAAGTACGCAGTTTGTCAACTGTAGAGAAAGTTAATTCAGACTAAAATTTAATTATTAATCAAGAATAAACTGACAGTTGTGCAACTTAATGTAAAGTTAGGTTGAAGTTAGGCAGAAACAAGCCCCAAGATGAGTCCTATATTTTCTGGGTGGTACCCTAAAAATCAGCCCTTCCAGTAACCATTTTCCGTCAGAATTTTAGAAATTTTTGCTCCATGAGGGTCAATATTCATTGGGATAGTGTTGTGTCAACTCAGTATGTAGGTAAATGGCTAGAATATTGGCGTTGAAAAATCGGGTCTCCAAGCTCTAAAAACTGCACTGGGTGCCTTTAAACTTTGACATACTAAACTTACTGCACATGCACACTTCAAACTGTGCACCAGCAACTCCAGATAACTCGGGAATCCTTAAATGGTTGTCTATGATTTTTAATTGGCAAGTTGCCGTTGAGAATACGAAGGTCAAGTTCGGAAATGGGCCTCGTGGGGGGGTTCCCAGGTCATTGAATTTGACCTTTTGTGCTGGTCGTTATTGTTGTTAGCAGGATAGTTCGTGAAGTCGCAAATGGATGTTCAAGTTACCTTGAGTTTCTCACTCTCTGCGCTGACGTCCAGGTCCCCCTGTCTGGACTTGAGGGAGGCCATGAGTTGTTCTTCATGGTGTAGTTCTTCCCTCTCAGACTGGTGCTCCCCCTCCAGTAAGGCTCTCTCCATCTCAAGCTGCAAGGTTCAAGAAAGTTTATTACAAACAATACATGCCCGAGGGCTAATTGTGGGTACAAACAACAGTGTATGAAAAAAAGAAAATACATGTACAATGGTATGAGAGACTACGTCTAACATTATACTACATTCTACAACATTACATTGTAATATTTTGCTGGGTTTGACTCCTTCTTTTGAGGCGGTGGAAGACAAATTTACCCACTTCTTCTATAATATGTGCGTTCTTTGATTTTAGTAGTAAAATTGTTTTCTCAAGGTAGGGGATAGTGGGAAAAGTAAGGGAGCATTTTGGTAACAGTGGTAAATAATTGCTTTCTGATATCGTCATAAAATGAACAATTAGAGATGAAATGAAGTTTTATGTACACCCATGAGTTTTGGCAAACTTTTACTTCACTCATTATTGTGAATTTCCTACTGATTCTGTCTCTATTTTTGTAGTATACATTTTCCCACTGGCTCCCACAAAGCAACAGACATGCATATCCTAGAAGGTAATAACCCTTACTGTGTACAAATAGGCAGATATATCAAAAACTGTTTAGACCTTTAAGAACATGTAGTATTAGTTGACTCATCTATTGCTTTGTACGTAGGTTAATTTCGTTGTACTCATGTATTGAACCGCGAGGGGGCCGACATCGTCTACCAGATACCTTTGACCCAGTGTTGACGTCACACTTCAAAGAAGCCACGTGACAAGCTTCACTGGGTCAGTCTACTGAGGAAGACCACAGTGACTGGTCGAAAGCTCTAGGTGAGAGAATTTTTTGCGTTGGACCAAAAGTTTTAACTTTAAACATCTTTTTCACATACTGACTGTGTCTCTTACCTCGCTCATGGCCTCCTCCATCTGCTCATCGATCTCAGAGATCCTGCGTGTGAGGACCTGGACCTTCCCCATCATGTGGGACCTCTCCTTCTCCAGAACTGCCATGTCAGGGGGTAGGTTCTGCAACTGGACAACAAAGACTCGTTATACCGATAGAATCTGACCTGGTCATTCAGTCTCACTGGATAAAGTAAGAATCTTGGACTCAGAACCCGACTTCTGTGCACGAGGGATTAAAGAGGCCATCTACATCAGGGCATTACAACCATCCCTCAACAGAGACCGGGGGGGCGCCACAGTCTTTCTGCAACCTATGATCCACTGCTCACGGAGTCACGTGTGTTATCTGCGTGACATCACGGAAGCGGTGATTGTTCATTCCTTGACAAAGACTGGAGTTGTACAGTCAAAAATTTGTAGTGAGTCCATTTTGTTGTGTCGGAAATTACAGTTTAAACTTGTACTTCATAATGACTTTTACCGACACAGATGAACTTTCAAGATAAAACACTCGTTATATGATGTACAAAATGTACATGTGTATCAATTAACGATTAATGACCTGCCACGAGGTACATGTACATGTATATACTACTAGTATATGGTGTGATAAGGCCTAATGTCAGTTGTTATAGCCATTGAATAAAACTTGCAGTTATTTGAACAGAATGCATGTTCCATTTGAGGTCACTGGCAGTCATTTGAACAGAACGCGTGCTCCACTTGGTCACAGTGCTTAACGGATTTAAATACCTTAGTGCTTATGGGATTTAGTCAACACTGGTAAGGTTCTTGTGGCATAACCAATATAAAATGGGCACTTCTGATTGTATGATAATTTTAAGACTTTAATAAATTAAGTACCCTTCTTACTAATATATTCTGAAACATCTTGGACCTTTTTTTTTCCAAGAATATAAACTGTCACTAGGGGGTTTAAAGTCAACAAGAACGAGATATTGTTTCATAACGTTTTTAGAGTATCACATTTTTAGCAACCGAATCTTATTTTCGGGAGGGTGCATTGTAGTGCTTTGGTTCAAGATTTTATTCAATAGTGTTTCTTATAACTTTAAATTGCGTGCATCAAAATCGTCTGCATGTAAGGTCACACCAATTCAATTTGTTGTTTCTCGGATTCGCCCTGTCCATTTTTTCCTATTTGCAAAAAAAACAAAAAATTTTTTTTGTTCTAAATCAACAGTTACTGCAAAATGCTCACTGAAAGAATTATTTTGGCCCCAACGGTTGAAGAAAGTCCTTTTCTTCCTAGTTGTTAAAGTTTTTCAATGTAACAATGCAATTTTGTTTCATTAAAAGTTCAAAATCTATCGTTTTGATTATAAACCAGCCTGATCTGATGACTTCATGGCTCATATTGTAACATTTCCGGCCATCATGGGGTGCCATGGCCTGTTTTTTTTTCACCCTGTCGCTTCATATTTTTTCTGAAAAAATCTGAGAAACAACTAATTAAATTGGTGTGGCCTAAAAAGGATTAAAAACTTCCTGAAGGATTATCTTAGGTGACAGCTGACACATACAAAGTCATAATGCAGCAGTTCACCCAACAGTAGAATGATGGAGTAGTTTGAAACTGTGCCAAGGTTACAATGAGATTATCCTGTCCTGTCAGGAACATGCCAAAGATTTAGTTTCAGAGGCAACTGCCCCTCCCAAAACACTTCTTCCTGTTGGGAACATCTGATACAAGAAAGCCTACGCACACTGAATGCATGAAATCGAGCAGAATACATTGTATTTGTAGGCTGTGTACTATTCACTCTTTAGGCCACACCAATTTAATTTGTTGGTTCTCGGATTCGCCTCTTCGTTTTTTTCTGATTTGCAAAAAAAAAAAATTTGATTCTGGTCCTGAATCAACTGAAAAATGCTCATGTTTTGCCCCCAACAGTTGAGGAAAGTCCTTTTCTTCCTAGTTGTTACAGTTTTCCCATCTATCATTGCAGTGGTTTGATTAAAAGTTCAAAATTCAATGTTTAAAATTTTAACCCAGCCGTTTGTGTTGACTTCATGGCTCATTCCATAGCATTTAAACCTATAATAGGATGCCTAGACCTGTTTTTATTACCTCCGGGTAGGGATGTATATCCCGAGCGCGGAGGTTTTGTGAGGGAAGACGAAAATTGCGTTCGCACCCGTTTCTCGCGTTGGGTGGACGGATATGTCTGGGACTTGGTATACGTTTGCTGTGGGCTG